AAAAAAAAAAAAGAAAAAAAAAAGAAAAATTTAATTTGATATAAAGAAAAAACATACAGAAAAGTTTCTTCCAGAAATTTTTCAAGTCCAGGTAGATAAGAGATAAAAATCAATAATAAACCACATTTCTAATGTTTTAAGCATTTATCTGCCTTACAGACAAAACTACTAGTAGTCCCAAATAATCTAAATATTGCTTCTAGAATGACTACTTTACATCTGTGAACTATAGCAGATTCTCATAGGACTTGTGAATAAAGTAACAGTTTTACCATGAATCAATAAGACTGTACAGGAACTGTACAAAAATCATAATTTCACTTTAAGAAGTTTAAATATAGTATGAATTGCTGTCATTTTACAGCTGGGGAGATTTAGGGTACCATTAAGGACTAATGAAGGGCTGAGAAAAGGAGAAAACAAGTCCTGTTTGGTTCTACTTTTGGTGATTTGCTATAATGCTTTTCCTTTCAACATTAACTTAAGAAAATTATTAATAAAATTCCAGAAACCAAAGTTCTCAAATATTCTAATTAAAAATAAAGCTGAGGGGCTAGGGTTGTGGTTCAATGGTAGAGCACTTACTAGCACATATGAGACATAGGGTTCGATCCTCAGCACCACAAATAAATAAATAAGATTGACAACTAAAAAATGTTTTTTAAAAAATGAAGCTGAAAGAAAAGACATCAAAAAATAATAGTTAAAGAAAATGCAAAATAAAACATGAGATATACCTGAGATGCATCATCCAGCTGCGGCTTTCCATAAAGGCTGGAGATACTTTCTGCCCTCATGAGATACTCCGCTGTTCTTCTCTTCACAGCTTCTCGGCGAGTAGGGCTTGACTCTCCTAAGGGAGACAACAAAAGTCTGGTCTTGTGAAAAATAAACTTTTTTCATCCCAATGTGAAAATTAACTTCTTTCCACCCAATTCATTTTACATTTCATCCAAGCCTGTTTACATTTCTAACTGTGAAGAAGAGATACTCAAAATTCAAAAACACATAAAAGTCATTCATTTCAATAAGATCTAAGTATTACCCCCATGAGTGTCATGTATGCAAAATTTGACACCCTCCTATTTAAGTATGAATTGAGAACTTAATGTATTTTAGAAGTCAAACATATAAAAAAAATGTAGCCAAGACTAGCCCTAATCCAAATCCAGACAATATATAGCTCAACTCAAAAATAAGAACAAAAGAAATGGATATTTAATAAGAGTGTGACATAGAATTGCTATGCCATGAGTTACATAAAAGTACCACAAAACTGGAAAATAAAATCACTGAGAGCATTTCTAAATTCTAACTAATCAATTTGTAAGCTTCATGGTTTTTTTAACCAGTAAAAAATTTTTGTGCATCTTTATAACTGAAAGCAGGAATGTGATTGAAATTCCTATAATATAAAATTATGTGAAACTGAGTACATCATTGACCCTATTTGGGTCTCAGCTTCCCTAAATAAAAGGTATTCAAAATAACCTCCAAAGAACTCTCAAGACTTCAAAAGAAGTGTTTAAAACTTTGAAGTGCTGGGCTCTCTCCAGAATGGGATGATTTTACCCATTTCATATGATTGACTAAGATATAGCATTTCATTTGAAGAAGGGATTCTGCTGTAGTTTGGACCTTAACTCTCCCCACAAAGGTCCTGTTTTGTTAAACATGGTCACTAGCATAGTGCTACTAGGAAGAAGTAGTGGGATCTATAAGAGGTAGAGTTTAGTCAGGGGTCTACAACTCATTGAAGGTGTGCTCCCACGGTGAGTGCGGGACCCTTGATCTGTTGCTCTTTCATCTCTTTTGCTTCCTGGCCATGAGATGAGCAGTTCTGCACTGCCACATTCTCCCACCTCGATAAGTTGCCTCACCACAGGCCCAAAATAATGAGGTCATTCAGTCAAAGCTAAAACCTTCAAAACTGAGACAAATATTTTCTCTTTACAAGTTGATTGTTATGATGATATAAAATTTACTAACATGGATCCCATGGCTGAAAGTCAAAAAGTTTGAAAACCAGTGTATCATATGATCTTTAAGGGTTCCTTTCATAAATATTATTCTGTAGTATTCTAAGTGATTCATGACTCATTTTGATCAAAGCACTTAACAGATGGTACTATTATCATAATTCATCCTATGCATCTTCTTAATGAAGTTAACCAAAAAGAAAGTACCCTGTAGAGGAAAATGCCTTACATTACATTCTAGAAACTCTGATGAGTTATCTAAATTCTGGTTCTGCCTCCCATGGGTCATATGGCAAGTCATCTCAACTCTCTGACCCCCTTCCTCATGCCCTAAAATGGAAGTATATACTTCTAGTGATCATGGAAAGTGAAAGAGAAAACATGTATATACATGGAATTACAACCGAGCCAGTCATATAGGAAGCACTAATTGTAAAGTTTTTAAATGCTGGTTTTTTCCTCAAAACTAGATCCTACAAAATGGTATTTCCTGAATTACTAAATTGAAGATAAATGGATTATAGTAAAGCAAATATTTTTTCCTTAGAAGACCACCAGTGGAAAACCTCTATTTATTTCTGCCTGGAACGGTATCTTCTGCTTTTCTAGGAAATTCCCCTTTCTCTCTTCAGACTTTCTCAGTCTTTCCCTATCTCCAAGTGGTTTGAAGGAAAACTGTTCTATGTCAGATCTCAGTTCCTCTAGCTACAAAGCTCTGTCTACTTAGATCGGGGTGGGCTTCCCTGTCCCAAGCTGCATAGAGCCTTACTCAACTGGCCACAGCTGGGGAAGAAAAAAAATGGCCCAATACAAACTGGACCTTCTCTGTTTTTGAAGCTATAGGTAAGAGGACTGGGAAGCACCAGCAGCCACAATTCCTGCCAAAGCAAAAGATCTGAAAGGAAGAACTTGATACAGAGGAAAGATGATATGGAAACCCAAAAATCAAAAAAAAACCCTAGTGTGACCAGGGTCCCTGATTCCAGGTGAATCTATATTCCTGTCTGTCTTTGCATAAAGTAGTCCAAATGGGGGTGCTGGCACATACTAACCAAAGAATTCTCATGGAATACAGACCTCAAAGAAAAACTGTAATGAAGTTGAGACTGCAATTTTGCTAAATAACTTTCCTTTTATATCTTTTACATTATCATTCTAACTCTTCTCTCCTTCATGAGTAATTCATAAATACAACTGGTCTTGCCAGAGAGAGGGATCTCTATTTCTTTTTTAAATGTGGAACAATCTATATTTGTTAACTTTCCAACTCCTCAAACAGCAATTAAAATGTCAGTATGCTTCTGTCCTTAAAATGTCCTTAATTCCTATGCCCAAGGTTTCCCACTCAAGTTGAAAACATGGGTACAAACCATGGACATCAACCTAAATAAATGTGACACACTTTGAAGATACAACGTCCCACGTAAATAATAGCTACACGCTGCTAGTCCTTTTTTATGGTTTATTGTTTTGGACTCTGTTATTGCCAGTATCCTTAGCTCTTCACATTTCAGGTTACACATTTTAAGCCCTAATAAACCCTAATTTGAAATCTGGGGCTCCCCTTAGGTTCAATTCCAATAAAAACTGTGACACTTTCGGTTTTTTTTAATTCAGTATGTCCACAGCCTCAAAATTTGGCTCTATTCAAATTAATAAACTCATCTCACAAAATAACTTGAAATTTTAAAATGACAAGAAACAGAATATGGTTTTAATCACATTTTGTAATCAAATGCTGTTTTTTAAACTTCTGACTCTTCTGCCACTTTCTAGATAGTATCCATGGTAACAAAGAAACAAGAACCAGAAGCCAGCAGCTGAAATGGACTCCTGCTGATGATGGTGAGCCCACTTCCATGGAAACTTATGGCCAAGTAATGGAAATACTGGAAGGTTTTTTCAATGCAGCCTTTTATATAGATACTATGATTTCTTCCTTATCAGCCCTTACAAAGAGGTCACATCTACTGCTGATAAAGAGTGGCAGCCAAGAAAGAAAATCACCTCTTGCTGATATCTGCTGATGAAGACTCAAAGAGGTTTTCTGAGTAGATTTCCAGAATAACTCTTACTGATAAAATTATTGATAAATTTGATTTTAAACAGATTTTAATTGATTAAAAATGTTTAATTCACTCTAACTTCCTTGGTTTTCTGTAGTTTGCTCTTCCCTTTCAAACACACATGGGCTTACATGTGTGCACACTGACAGTTCTTAATGACTATTATTCAAGGAAAATGTATCTAAATTCAACCTTCAATCCCATATTAGGTCATGTAACTATTATTTCTTCAATAACATAGCCACACAGAATACTTTTCAAAGGGAATACATGATTTATATTCTACCTAAAGACAAATTAATACCTTTGATGAGTTTCTCTACATTTCTGCTAATCATTCACATAGAGCACAAATTTCCACTGGGTTTTGGCATTCAAAAGAAAAAAAAAATTGCTTCCATTATTCAATAACTGTGGTGGTTAATCTTGATTGTCAACTTAGCTGAATTGAGAGACCACCTAGAAAATTGGCAAAGCATCTTCTGGGTGTATCTGTAATAGTGTTTTCCAGAGATGATTAGCATATGGGTCAGCAAACTGGGGCTGTGTATAGCGGGGAGACCTGCCCTACATGTGGGTAGCACCACCCAATAGGCTGGGGGCCCAGATGGAACAAAGAACACAAGTGGTGATAGGATTTGCTGGTGCATGCAAACTCAATTCTTCTTAAACATCTGTAATTTTTGCTTCTGCCATCATCTGCAGACATCAGACTGCAGATTGTTCAGCCTTTTAAGACATACTAGATCCAGTGACTCTCCAGGGAGCTTCCAGGACTTCAGTCTTGCACTGAGGCTGCATCATTGGTCCCCTTATTCTGATACTTCCAGTTTCTTGAACTGAGCAGCTACCAGTTTTCCCAGCTCTCCAGTCTGCAGATAGCCATTATGGGATTATCTAGCCTAAGGCAGTATAAGCCAACAATTAAATTGCCTCTTATGTATAAGTTCTGTTCCTCTAGAGAACCCTGGCTAACTCAATAATAATCTCTCTGTCAAAAAAAAATTGGTGTACCATAAAAGTTTTCTTATGTGCACTTATATGATAAACCTACTGGGAAGATGAATACAGGATGACTACAGAATGTGATCTGTGAAACAAAAGAGTATAGCTGAGTAAATAGGAGAAGAAATTCCAAAATTGTTACCAAAATATCTAGAAACACTAGACAACCTATTTTGCATTTCTCTGGACACCAACTCTGACTTCATTCACTAAAAGTTGTTTTATAGAAGATATGGTCTATAGATAATAGATATGGAAATTCTGATTTTTCCAAGAACACATCACTATTTGGTACCCCTTCATGGTATCATATCCTATTTACAAGAAATAAATTTCTCTCTTTTATAATTAAGAAGTTAAACTCAAGTATGTGAAATTTCTTTCTCAATTACACAGTTAAAGTAAGAAGAGCCCGAACCTAAATCAGCTCTTTTAGGGTACTTTCAGGGTACTTGCCATCAAACCAAGTTACCTTTCAATATAAATAAAGTAACTGAATTTGAATGTGATTATTCTACTGTTTGAGTAGAACAAGAAAACTACAAAGCCCAAGTATAGGTGAGTATGGCAACAAAGATGGAGAGAAAATAAATATAAGAATTTGAGAAAGGTACCCATCGAACAATACACAGAGTAGAATTAGAGAGGAAAGATACCTAAGATGATAAACATAGACATAGGAAAATCAGAGCTATAAAAGATATACATAACTCTATGTAAAAACAGAATCTAAAACTGGCATCATTGGACTAAAAAGAGAATATACATTTTGATGTAATTCTACAAAAAATCATCATAGCAGT